ATATGAAATGCATTTTACCATAGAAATACATGTTAAAACATATAATTTGTTCTGCAGCATAAAATAACTGTACTGTACCATATAAAAATGAAAATGGAGCAATCACCAATTACGCCGGATAGTCAGATGTTGTGAGGAGGAGGTGGAGGAACACTTTTTTTACACATTCATACAGATACAGACTTTTTACACATTGCGGCAGGTCTCTGTTTATTGTTTTTTAATCGGAGTCAGTTTTTTAACCGGGGCTTGCAGGGTCAACTCCTCTTGTTCCATCCTTTGTTTTTTGGCAGCTGGCTTCTTGAAAAAACATGTCCAAGGTGGTCTGTTTCTCTCTCTGCTTCAACACCTGTCGGAAATGATGGGAAAAGGTGTCATTATAGAGATCATTGATCCTGTTGGCCTCAGCTCTGTTTGGATAATGAGTGTTGGTAAACTCCTGAACCTCTCCCCATTTGACAAGGTAGTTTTTGTCAACTTTCACTCCTTCTGATGATTTCTTGCTTTGTTTCAATTGAAATCACCTTTCTGTTTTTTTACAAGCCATAATTTGCACAACACTTGAATAAATGTAAATACTCTGCACTGAGGTGATATACGTAATAAACAAGGGAGCAAGCCGAATCCCAACAGGCGCTCTTTACTAAAGATATACTAATAATATATTCTAATAATACTAATCTATATATATATATATATATAAATGGACGTGTGTGTCCCTATATTTCACTTTTCAGCCAAAACTACACTTTGCACATGAATGGTGTTTGTATGTGGTAGTAACCCCAAGTCTCCATTCATGCACTATGGTGGTTGTGTCTCGATAGCTATAAGGGAGCGGGAGATATGGGCTTGAAAGTGGTTGAAAGTGGAAGATTTTCTATTTCGATTTTAAAAATTTTCGAATTTGAATTCGTATTCGATTTGAATTGGTTTGATTATAGAACGATTGTAAACATTCCAGAAAATTGATCAAATTGAAAATAGTTTGTTTGACTGGACGTAAAAATTCTCTAATTAGTCTGGAAACGGGGGACCTAATTCTTGCATTCTGTGAAAACGGGTAAGATTGGCTATAATGTAATTATCTTAATCTTCACTATCGTTACTTTTTGTCTACAAATAAAAACCCAGCGAAGCGGGTCCTTGCAGCTAGATTCTAGATTACTTAGAAAAACAGTCTTTTATATATATAAAAAAAACTATATTACATACAAATGTACGAACAAATAAAAACCCAGTGAAGCGGGTCCTTGCAGCTATTATGTTATAAAAATAGCAGATTGTCATTGGCAATGGCAAAAGAGTGGAAACATCATTTGCACTTGTTCGCAGAAAGTCCATTGTTTGCCTCACATAACTGCCAAACGGAAAATCCGTTGTTCACAGCCAGTTCGTTGCTCGAGTCACATAACGGCCAAACAAAGTCTGTTGTTCGCAGCGTCTGTTATTTGAGGCGTACGTTATACGAGGCACCACTGTAGTTGACTCTCTTTAGAAACGAACATTAATAAAGCAAATGTGTTAAAGTGAATTTTGCCATTACCCTGGCAAAATGCCATTGTCGCAATGTTAATTTTCACATGATAAAGCAGCAAAAATTTTTCCAGAATTTGTTAAACCGAACTGTAAATTAACTTCACAACCCCCAAGAAATAACCCAATAATGGTTGCTTTATACACTTGAACAGTAAAAACTGGAAGTGTAATAAATGTTCCATTTTTTAGTAGAATATGAGTAGAATCACTTTTTCTTCTTGTAGTAGGCAAAAACGGGTTCAACTTCTGATTGTAGAGCAGTTCAAACATCTAATTTTAGTGGACCATCCTATCTACTTGGAAAATAGGGGTTAAAGTTTAAAGATGTCCATACCTTTAAACGCATGTGGTATTATGCAAACATATGTTAATTTGTCTACTTTTTGCTAAATTTGACTCCTTTTTTTTATTCTTTTGACACCAAAAAATATTTTATACTTTTCCAAACAATCATCAACAGAAAAAAAATTTCAGTTTAGCTTTGTTTTGTTTAATCATTCTGATATATATTTATGGCAGCTAATATCATCTCCTCCTCATTTTGTTTGATTTGAAAATCATTTAGCATGTCAGTTTGTTTTTATAGATAAATTTTATTTTATTTAACTTCATTTAGTAACTTAATTTAACATATTGTAATTTAGAGATTTTACTCACCCGTTAATCCTTAACGCCCTAAATTATACGACCTTGACCCCAAAAATTGATGATACAAATTTTTGACAAAGCAAACAACCCTAACGATTTGTATTAATGCGATTCAACTGTATATATATAGAAATTTAAGTATTGAACATTAATACTTTAGAACAAATTTAGCTTCAGTGATTTTTGGGATAACATTTTTTCAAAATACAATTAAAAATTATCTTCTAATATTCTTAGAATATTAATAATTGTCATCGATTATTCATTTTATTTTTAGGTATTAATTATTTTATTTTCTTTTATTAATTCTGTCTCATTTTAGAAGAGCAAACAAAGTATTCATTTTGTTATTTAATGGAAATCCATTTTAAAACTGTGACTTCATTAAAATTTTAAGAGATTTTTTTCATCTGTAGAAGATTCATAAACACAGTAAAAATATGGTTTAAAATAGAACAATGTTTTGAAACATTTATAAGGTGTTAAAAACCGATAGATTATAAATAGAAATATTAAGACAATGTAAACATCAACCCAATTCTATTAGACATTCCATACAAATTAATGCATGATTAATAATTTGGAAATATGTTTGACATACAGAAATATTAATTTCATATACCATATATAAATTACTCAACAGAAATAAAACATAAAATATTAGCAGGTTTTGATAGTGAATTTTAATAGTTAACTTAATTTTATCAATAATTTTTTTGATGAAAATTAAATTTATATTGTCATTAATTGTTAAATTTAACAGATAGAAGTTTAAGATCACTGTCAAGAAATATTATATAAAAATAGTTTTAATATTTAGTATGTTTACTTATAGTGATAAAACAAGTTTCTCATTATGATTGTAAAAGATTTTGTTATGATTCAGAGATTATGCTGTACTATATTAAATTTTCAAATATGATTCATGTAATTTTAAGGAAAAATACTTGTTTGCTCTAAGTCTGCTGATGTTTTGAGTTTTAAAAATTGATTTTTTAACATGAGTCAGTCTGGATATTCATCTGATTCTTTTCCTTCAAAAAAAAAATTCACACAATTATATATTTAGGAAAACCTGGCTCAGGTGAATCAATTCAAAACTTGGTTAACTCGTGATGATGATATTTGTTATAACTAGTTGCATCACTTGCCAAACCTTATTTAGTGTTTAATACAATAGAAACAAAGCATTTACAAGGCCTGCCAATTGCAAGAAGCATGAAAAAAGAAGTGCATCTTTTCATTTACCTTCCTCTTTCACCTGGTTAAATTAAAATTGTTAATATTCTTTACATAAAATCTTTTAGTTTTTAATTGACTTTTAAACTAAATATGAAATGATGATAAAATTTGTTTTCGTTTATTATTGCTATAAATTTTTTCTTTCAGAAATAAAAACATTGAAACAAACTTTTGCAATTACTAAATAATACATATGAAATGTACTAATTGACAAAAAAGTTAATTTCAATTGTTAATAAAACAGTCCTGACCCAAGTTAATATTAATTTGGGTCAGGACTGTTTTTGTTTTAGTTGACTCTTAAGTACAGTAAGACCCCGCTTAATGTGGGGGATGTGTTTCTAGACAACAAAGCGCTAAGCGAAACATCATTAAACAAGGTCATTTTAACATAAAGTAAATAGGGATAGGGGAACACACGACTAAAAATAAACAAATTTTACTTTAATTTTAAGTTATTTTTATATTAATTTATATAATAATATATGTTAAATAACACATAAACATATGCACACAGAAATGTAGAGTTCATTTTTTGTGATGAAGGTCCTGACTTTTCTGAAATTCTTGTTCTATTCAATAAAGTCGTGAAATTTCATTTATAGCTTTTTTCTTTCCTTAAGCAAATGTCGGTAGCAGAAGATCGCATCCAAAATGCCTCGTTTTGCTTTTGCACTCCTTTCAAAATATGGATCATTTGCTACAATTTGATCAACAATTTCAGTTATCTTACTAAACTTTTACTAAGGAAATCTGTAGCAAGTTCTTTGGGTTCTTCATTTTCAGAATCTCTGTTTTCAAGTTCTACATGAATTCCTTGTTCTGCCAGTTCTTGAAGTCATCATTGGTAAGGCTCTTACCAGAAACCTGCAGTAACTCTCCAATATCCTGCTCATCTACATTACATCTCCTGTATCGATTAAATTGACAATTTGGTCAACATAACGATACAGCGATAGGCTCTTCTCGTTGAGAATTCTTGGATACCTTCAACCATAACTTCTTCCACACTGATCGTGCATTTATCAGTTAATTCTTGCCAAGCCAAGTCGCTATTTCCTATGGCATCCATGTTATATTTTTTCCAAAACTGCACCAAACAAACAGATTTAAAGAAAGTACACCTTTTTGCCAGCTTTTGCTGATTGGTTTGTGTTTGCAAATAATTGTATTATATATGAATTAATGAAATGCCGCAATAATTTAAATCATCGTAAATTTTTAGCTTTTTTCTTAGGCTTCGAGCAGAGCACGTTATATCAAATCAGCATTAAGCGGGGTCTTACTGTATATGTAATAAAATATTAACGTTTTTCAAAGAGAAAATTTTTACAATTAAGACTTAGGAATTTTTAAATTGATTCCAAGTTTCTTAGTTGAGATTATAATATTGCCAGTTAAAAATAAGCTTCATACAGTTTAAATCTGTGAATTCAGTTTGATAAGTTTAGATTTACACTTCCACCTTCAATAATTTGTAAATATAGAGAAACTTTAATTATTTTAATGTAGGAATGTGTTATGTTTTTACATTTTAAAATATATGTCGTTTCATTTCCTTTCCTTTACAGATATTTGGCTCAGAAAAGGTATACTGAATTGATAGATTTATTATATGAAGGTGCCGTTTTATTCATGACTCACGGACAGGTAGGTATATATTATTTTAAAAAATTATCTGGAATATTTTAGTTGTATATGTTATGTTAATGATATAATTAACCAAACAAAATTCTTTACAAAGATAAATATTCTAAAATAACTTAGGCAAATTTTTTAATTGTTCATATATTAACTAATCAAATTAATAATTCGAATACTTTACTTTTCTGACTGATATACAACAGAGGGAAAGTATTGTTATTGGTTAAACTTTGACCCCTTGGATTTTTTTTGCATTTCTCAATGTTTTAAGATCTTCTGATTCCAAATACATCAAAAAATAAATAAAATTGTGAGTGGGTGTATTGGTCTATAGTTTCCTTCATATCTCAGGATCTGTTGAACCTAAAATTTTGAAATTTGGCAGGAATACTTCTATACATGGTGGCATTGATGCATGATGTTAAAGAAACCAAATTTTGAAGTTGTTATCAATTTAAAAAGATTGTAATCATGATATTTTACTAATTTAAGTATTGAACAGCTTTATGTAAAAGACCTTTAGCTTCTTTAATGTTGTTTACAGTTTATTAATGCTGTTTAATTGTAAATATTGATGATAAACTATAACTATACATATTTACAAGATGGCCAACAATAATATAAACAGATTAATTGAACTATTTAGTAATTTCGTGAGAATATTATATCAATTAGTTTTAGCAAAGCAAATTATTGCTACTATAATTCAGGTTGTTTCAGTTTAATTATAATAAATTTCTTTATATTTTAATATGCCTCTGATATTAGAATGCCAAATTCTAAAAAAATTTATCTTGAATAGTTTTCATCTAGTAGGATTCTAGAAGTATTCATGCATTTTATTTATTTTTGTTTTAGATAAGAATGGAGTGATAAAGTCCTTAATTAGTTTAATGATTCAAAGAGAAATGAAACAAAACTGTAATAAGAATGCTTATTAAATTCAATTTAAATAGAGTGGTTTTGAGTGATGATTTTTTTTACTTTTTTGGATAAAGTCCATTTAAAAGACATTTTTATTATTGTATCCTTGGATACTGAATGAATACTTCATGATGTATCAAACAGTAGTAGTAATTGGTATTTATAAATAATTAGCATTAGTTAGTTTATCATTCAGCTAAATGGAAAATATTTGCTAATATTTAATATTTATTATAGAATAGATCAATATAAATAACAATATAGATCAAATCCAGATTTGGAGTTCCAAACTTTTTAAAGCTTTTGAACAAGAATTTTGTTTGCAATACCTTACAACTATGTCTTTCTTCCCTATTTATATCCCTCTCTTTCTGCAATTATGATACCATTTGCAACCTCATATTACAGTACTGAAAAAAGTTTCTCATCACTGACTGCCATCAAAACAAAAGAAAGAAATTGTCTTGAACTCTATATTCAAAACACAAATTATTTTAGAGCTCAGATTTGAGAAGGTAGTTTCTGAAAAACTAGCACATGTTTCACACTACAGTAGATCCCCCTATAAAACCGTTTCCTATAGTTATGATTCCTATAAAAATTGTGGCAGTATCCGTAAACAACGGTAAAAATAACTCCTATAATATGTAAAACGTCATCGGGCAGCCGAACTACTTACCCGCCGTCCGTAGCGCCACGCTACGGAGAGATTTCTATCGTCTGGACAGTATTATATAAATTATATATAAATTAGGTACTGTACATATAATTATATATTAATTATATATAAATTAGGTACTGTATATATAATTATATATTAACTTAATTTATTGTAACTTTATTATAATTAAATATATATTTTTCGCCGTCTAGCGTCACGCTACGGCGAGTTAGGCGACCTATCGTCTGTTTAGTACTGTAATTTTATACATTTCTTGTGAAAGAAACATTTCTTATTTAACGGCCATAAAAATTATTTATATTAATGATGTCTCCAAAGGTCAACGAAGTTTTCGCAGAAAAATAATATCAGAAATCGCGGCCGCAATTTGATGCGCTGTTCCGCGACGAAACCAAGCTTTAGCAACGGGCGTAGTCGAACGGTACACACTCGGTAAGCAATCCTACAATTTTTTGTTTATAACGTAGTTTATACGGATTATTTTCAAAAAAATATACATATTTTGGAAATGTTGAGTCGAATTAGTCTAGAATCGATTAATTTTATGAAAGAAAACCTTTCAAACAGCCGTAGTCCGTAAACTATGATTCCTACAAAATTGATTCATAAAGAACGGAACGTATCTACCGTCTTATAGGGGGATCTACTGTATTTATTGTTGTAAATACAAAGTAAGTTTATGTTAATCTAGCTTTTTTGTTTTATCGTGTGAAATTTCTCATGACTTCCATGGGGTGGTGACCCACACTTTGGGAACCACAGATATAGAAACTATTGGCATTTTCAAAATTTGACCATTTTAATTTTGTGGCTAAATTGTGAATAAATTAGTTGCAAAATTTAAAAAAAAAAAAACAAATATTTAATTAAAATGTACATATTTTTTTTTCCAATTTTACATTAATGATTAAAAAGATTTGTATGAATTGTTTATATTCTAGTAACAATTTATTCCTTTTATGACTATTCACGTAATGAAGACACACCGCAGATTTTACTACGATGAGATATGATGAAAACAAACGAGACACTTAAACTATAAACAACAGTACTATTTCATAAGACATTAAAAATAAATTTGCTTATCTGCAGACAATATTCATAATCTACATTAAAGCAAATTTGTTTCGGTTGTAATTAAAATGAAGTTGTCTTTTATATTAAGGAAACCATTGCTTTAATTAGAACTAAAATGCATTTATAGCTTATATTCATTTTATAACTTTCATAAAATAGTACTTATAGCAATTATCCATTAAAATTTAAACTATTAAGTGTATGTTTTGAAATATAATAGTAATAATATAAATTTAAAGAAATTTATTGTAAAACAAAGTTAATAAAACTTTTAAAATTTGCTACTTTGTTACAATTATAGTAACTGTAGAATAGTAATTTAATCACTTAAGTTGTAATGCGATACTTCTGAAAAAGTGGGAAGTGCTATTTATTTCTGTTATCTTTAATATAAAAGTTTTCTTGGTTACTGTTAATATACAGAGTCAGTTGCAGGATAAAGTTTTAAATCTCAAATATTATTTTCATTTAATATTAATTTATAATGTAATGATTTATCTTACCTTAAATTAAGTTAATTATTCATCGTTTAAAGTCTTTAATAATGATTGTTTCTAGATCCATATATCTGTTACTATTCTAACTGCATGTTTGTTTGAAACTTAAACTGAAATTTAACTTTAATTTTAATCTGTATTTAATAAATACTATATTTAAAGTTTGCTTCATTAATATTATATAAAATAAAATAAAGTGAATTTTAGTTTTCCTAGTGCATTGCTTTTTATTCAGTAATAATTATTTAGTAAATGTTTTTTTATAATTTGATTTCTTCGTTTTCCTTGTTTTTACTCCATCCAAGCAAATATAAATGCAAAATTTATATTGCAGATGACAACTTAATAATTTAATTCATAATTAATTAATTTTCCACTGATTGTTAGCTGTATCTATACTACTATATAAAGAGACAACGTATTTTTCGTTTGTGATCACTAACCGTGAAAACTACTGAACCAATCGTTACCAAATTTTAACTGTAGCATCTTTATGACCCCCGGAATGTTTACCACTAATCAAACCTGCAGATTTTTTATTAATTAAATAAAACTACAATGGATTTTTCATCTAGGGTTAAGGCTTTTATGTCCAACAGATGGCGCTATGAGTATGACGCCCTAAGTTTGCTTTTCTGTGAGGATGAACTAAAGCAGATCATCTTCTATCTATCTATATAAATAAAAATGTAATGTTCGTTTGTTCCTACAAATTCCTTTGAAATTTTCACACAACACTGCATTCGAATACGCACATGTTTTTATATAATATACATATTGAAATTCTCCCACTGGGGGGAGATGAACAGGATTAAGGCTTACCATAAAGAACTCTGCTTCTATTTCTACTATTTTAGATGCAGTTTTTTTGCGTTTTTGATTGCGTTTTAATAGGGTATGTCAACAGAATATACACTAAAAAAGGATTTTTCAATATTCCCCCGTGGGGGAGAGGGAGAGGATTAAGGCTTACCTTGAAGAACTTGGCTTCTATTATACTATTTTAGATGTGGGTTTTTGCGTTTTTGATTGCGTTTTAATAGATTACGCCAAGAGAATATACACTAAGAAGAAATTTTTCGAAAAATTCCTCCTCCACACGGGGGAAGTGTCATACATTTATAATAGATACATTTTGAGCCACAACAACGCGTGGCGGGGTCTGCTAGTGTGGTATACTTGTGGAACCAATTAACTGCATGTATTGAGGATTACCTGTATTTATTGTGGTAAAATCACTGTAATTAGATGTTTCCATTCACTATATCTTAGCCTATAATTATGTTTTACTTTAAAAAACACACATACATATATAAAGTTATCAATTATATATATATATAACTGAATGTTTAATCTTATTGTTATTGAAAATAAATATTTAAATATCCTTAATTGAACTTGTGAATGGAAAACAGGAAACAGTGGAGTTATTTCCTGTTTTCCACCAATCACAAAGACTAGCATGGTTTTGTTGAACACAGTTTTATTTCATCTATTTGGCCATCTATGACATGGTTTGGCCATCTGTTATAACTATACATGATGAATTTTATTAAAAAAATACTTACTGTGTGTGTTACTGACAAAATTATAATAAATACAACTAATGTAATTACTTCCAACAACCCGGATGGAGATTCAAGCAGTGTAACTGACAACACACCTGCTTGGTAAACAGGAATTATGGGTTTGAGTCCCAGTTCGGGTCAATCTTTTCTTCCAGAATATTCTAAAATTGATTTAAATTAATTAATTAATTTATAATTATTATATTTAATAAGATATGGTGGCCTGGTGACTTGCCTCTTGCCAAATTGCATAGTAATTATTTAGCCTTAGTAGCTCAATAAAGGAATCCAGCTGTTTGTTTGCTATTTGGACCGCTGTAATTTCTATAAAATCACATACTAAAATTTAAAAAATTTGTTTTTAAAAACAAACAAAACCATTTTTTTCACCACCATCCTCTGCTATGTAAAAAACTTTTGGTGTGTTAAAATTCACATAAGAATGTTACAATTTACCATTTTTCGTAATGAATGCTAAATATTTAAATATTCTATTGATATAAAAAATTATAGCAATATTTGTTATAACTACATGTAAAATTTATATTTTATTTTTCAGCATAACAGCGGTTCTGACTTGGCTGTCTTATTTGTCGAAGCTCTTAACAAGTCCAAGTTCAAAGTCACAGATGTCTTTATAGGTTAATAGTTATAAAAATATTGCTACTTTTAATAGATTTGATTAGTTTAACTATATTAATATGTTTAATTTATTACTGTTTTTGAATTTACCATATAGGAATCCTTCAAGTTTTATGGAGCAGAAAGACAGACAAAAACAATAGCTTAATGCAAATCTTGCATATATAAAACAGGTTTTTGGGCAGAAACCCACTTACATTGGGCAAGTTTAGTAACCACTTACTGCTATTAAACTTGCTCGACATAATTACTTCAACTAGTAGACTCACTCTATGATTTATCTGAGTGAGTAAAATTGAAGAACAGACTACTTGTTTTGTTTCTCACTTGCAAGTTTACTAGAAAACTGAGTAATCATACTCAGTGAGTAGATCAGTCTATAGAAGATATACATCTAATGGCTGAAGTAGCTTGTGTGGAAATTTTAGCCATTGCTTGTATTTTGAGAAATAGACTTTGAGAGATGGTGGAAAGAAAGAAAAGCATGATGGCAGTTTTCTAAGATATCAAATAATAATAATTATTTATTTAAGGAATTTGTTCCTTTCAGATATATGTCTAGGTGCATTTGAGAAAAGACAATGTTTTGTCCTTGCTTTTTTACTCTAAAGTTAAAATTATATTTGACAATGTTTCGTGTTGTCATGTAATTTAAAGAATATCGTATTTGATTATTTTTTAGTATAGCCTTGAAAGCAAAGCGAGTAAGCTAATTTATTTGCTTGGTGTAATTGGTATTTTCACTGTGTATGTAAATGCACACATACACATACCAATTACACTCATTCACTCTTTTGTGAGTTTGCATGCTGGTGAGTAGGTAATGTATAACAGTATGGTTGCAATTACATTGTAACCATACTGTTAACTACTCACCATACTGTTAGCATAACTAACTGTTAAGCTTCAGTAAGGTTATGTTTCGATTGCCATCCTCAACTTCATAATTATTGAATAATTTTGAAAACTGCATGTGCAGTATATTTTTGTTTTCATTTTTACAGTATATATATTATACTGATATATCTTATTTAATATTAATCAATAGGATGACTATCACACCAAAATATTGTATAATAAAATAAAGACACTGCGTTCAGCGTTACATGCATACGTTTTTTATCGCAAGCACTTTCAACAAACTTATAGTCATCGTCCTCAGGCGAATACAGAGATTTACCAAAAAATTAGATGGAAATAATCCGACGTAGAATAGAACGCATAAAATATGAGTTGAAACTTTGTCAAAGCCGTTAAGAACACGAAGCAAATATTCAAATATAATTCGAAAACTGAACAAGCAGTTAGCTTCGTGAAGTGCGAGCTGGGCACATGCGCAGAACCAGAATGCACATATTGGAGAGTGCTAATACTTGCTTAAACGTTTGTATAGCATGACCCATACACTGGGCAGATCGAGCGTAGGGGTGTTGCAAGTGTCCAAGGTGGTAGTAAGGAGAGATTCCCATATGGAAACGATTTTTCGATCCTTGCAGCTCTTGAGCATAACCGCTTGGGACCATAGCGGGTTGTAACCCTGCTCAAGTACCTTTGCTTGGTGGTGTACCTACCCCTCATACTGCCTTGATGAGCATCAAGACAATGTTATGAGGGGTAGGCACACCACTGAACTCACAAGAAAGGTACTTGAGCAGGGTTACAACCCGCTATGGTCCCAAGCGGTTATGCTCAAGAGCTGCAAGGATCGAAAAATCGTTTCCATATGGGAATCTCTCCTTACTACCACCTTGGACACTTGCAACACCCCTACGCTCGATCTGCCTAGTGTATGGATCACGCTATACAAACGTTTAAGCAAGTATTAGCACTCTCCAATATGCATATAGCGTGAGCCTGGTTATGCGCATGCGCCAGCTCGCACTTCATGGAGCTAACTGCTTGTTCAGTTTTCAAATTATATTTGAATATTTGCTTCGTGTTTTTAACGGCTTTGACAAAGTTTCAACTTATATTTTATGCGTTCTATTCTACATCAGATTATTTCCATGTAATTTTTCGGTAAATCTCTGTATTCGCCTGAGGACGACGACTATAAGTTTGTCGAAAATACTTGTGATAAAAAAACGTATGCATGTAACGCTGAACTCAGTGTCTTTATTTTATTATTTTATATTTAATAATAATTATCAGATTTTTAATATTACAAAAATATTTGTATATATTATAATTTTTTGAAGTTTCAGTTAATTTTATAATGGTACAGGGTGTATGAAAAGTTGCTATGTAGCAATAAATTTGTATTGACATTAAAGTTATATGTATGGTATTGCATTCAACACCTGTCCATTGCATGCAATACTGTATGAATAGCTTTAATGTCATTACAGATTTTCAGACACCCTGTAGTTTGACATACTGAAGGATTACCCATTCAATAACTTCTATCATAGTTTCATTGATGTGTTGTGAGTAATTCCATAATTAAGTTTGTTTGTTTACTCCTGTGATAGTCGAATAATAAACACAATAGTTATTAGAATTTTTAATTTACAATGTATTTTTTTATTTTGATCATAAAATAAAGCAGGAAATGTAACTAAACTTATCAATAAAAATAATTTTGCTTATATTTTGAGAAAATAAAAGTATAAAAACATTTCAAACCAGATTAAACAAGTGCCTAGCTGTTAAGTGGCAGCAGCAAACAAAATAAAATTAAAAATCATTGTAAATACTTTCCGATTTTAACTTGTTCAAGGTTAAAACTGTAAAAACATTAAAAATGAGTTGCAGTTTTCTTTTCATTGCAAATAAAGCAGGTTAATGATTTTGTATTAAATAATTTTCAAAAAAATGTTTTATATTTTTCTATATGTCAAAATGATTTCTTTGCAGCTTTAAAATTTTAATCTTATATTTGATTTTAAAATACAAAAATTTTGTGTTGGTCATTCCAACATTTTTAGTTCAGTGAACACTGAGCTGATACTAATTTGGATTGCACTAGTAAGTTGTACCCAGCAAAATATTTGATGTAAAAAATTATTGTAAAATTTATTAATATAAGATTATAAAATTTCTCAGTATACGACATTTTTTGTATAAATATTTTCATGGTTACATATTAATTTCTGCATGCAAATTAAATTGACGACACTAATCAAATGTAATTTTTTGTTTCTTTCATACCTACTTGTAAGAGTTCTTCGGCATCATTTTATTCAAAAGAAATGACATCAGTCCTTACTTTTAATTAAAAAAACAATACTTTTATTATTTAGCATAACAATTATGTCTCCTGAAAATTCCTAAATTGTTACACTGGGTATACAAGTTATTTAAATGCTTTGGGCACTGCACACGTGTGACATAAATAAATGAATATCTGCGTCACTGGTTGGGCATGGTATATATATGCTTGAATGGATGTACAGTACTTTTTTGTCAAGCAAATCAAATGCAGCTAATCTGCAATGAGTAAATGTTGATAGATGGTTCAGTGTCATTTTCTGCAAAATGGTTTGGTGCAGCAATCAAGAAATGAAAGTAGTTTGGAATGTTCCAGAAATTTTTGATAAAAAGGGGTAGAAAGTGTAGATAAAAATAGTAGATCAGTGTTTTTTCTTTTTCCATAAAGAAGAGATAAGTCTTGTCATTATGATTGCACCATTGTCATCTATCATTGATTTATTCCTCTTTCTTTCCACTGGATAATGTATTAATGAAGAAGTTGATATCATCAGTGTAACTTGTACAGAAGTCATGTGATTACACACTGGCTTGAAGCCAACAGAATTGCCCATGTAGATACCTAGCTTTAGCTAAATAAATACATATTTTCAAAACAAAAATGCTAGATGGAAACATTCTAGAAGAACAAAAGGAAATAAAATGTATTAAATAAATTATAATCTATGCTCTTTAAAATATTGTAGTGAACTTAATTACAGAGAATAACAATTGTAATTAACTATGCAAAAGTATTTATTGTTTGTAAAAGTATCATCTAGATTTATGGCTGGCTGTATTTGATGCAATATTTATATATAGAATATATTTGATCAGCAATTTGTATGAATTCCAGTTGCATGATTTTCATTATGATATTGAATTGTGAAAACATTTGCTGTATGTTTATTATTGCCAGATTTCCTACTAGGCACGTGAGCCATTGGTGGAAATTTGAAAAAATGTATAAAGCAATTTTACCATTACAGTTGTATATCGTAATTTATAATCATAATAATTCTATAGCTACAATTAGGTGCTATTAGTATAAGATGTAAAATTATGTAGTTGGTGTCTCAGTCTTCTGTGCTTAGCCCCGGAATGTCTTAATATGATGATTAATTTTAAGTATTGATTTGTATGATTGTGGAAAAATTAATAGTCCACAATGGACTCTTATTTTTAATTATATATAGTAGAACTTAGCTGATAAAACAAGATGTGCATATGCAATTGTATTTCAGAAGTTAAAGTATATAAATTTATAGTATTGATAATTTGAGTGTAAGAAATGTATCATCTATATATAACAAAGTGCTCGATAATATCATTGTTGATACTGATAATTGATAATTTCCATGTGATACTGTTGTATAATTACAATTTAAAATCAATATTTAGAAACTTTTTACTTTTAATTGTATGAATTAATTATAAGTTGTGAACTGTTGTTTATATTTTGATCTTTAAAGATAAATTGGGGTATCTTCATACAATAATGAAAGTGGATTCTCCCGAAAGAATAAATTTCCTGACATCTGCTCTACAATGGTCTAGCAATAGCGGTGATGAACATTATCCACGCGGACATCCACGTTTACATCAATTAGTAGCTATTACATTATGGAAAGGTAAGATTACGTTTGAGGTTGCCAATTTGGTTAGGAAATAAATCCTTTTTTTATTTACGGATTATTCATTAATGGTTCACTAATTAATAATTTTATATTATTTACATTCACTACTGGTATAAATGAATCATAACTAAGGCTGTAAGAAGAGGTCGACAATGAGCTGGACCTCTTATAGCCTCGGTTGCAAGAGGTCTGGCTATTCATTTTTACTTGATTTTGCTGCCAACATTACCAATACAATTCTAATATATATCAATTGCTAGTGTGTAACACTGTCAGACCAAACTAATAGGAGACCTTTTCCATAAGGGAAAAGGGAGAAGCATGTTAGGGATTGTTCCCTCTTAACATGACAACTGCTCTCATTTTTCTTTTGGCTGGACACGTTCCCTCTCTTCCTACGGCTCTGATTGAAAATACTTAAAAATCCTTATCATACATTGCTATATCTGTAATTAGTATTTGAAATTAGTTATAAATAATTTAAAAAGTGCTAATTATCTACATTAAGTAAAAACTTGATATATTGGAAAATATTTATTTAATGGATAAAAAATAATTTTGTGCATTATGTTTTATGCACAAAATTATAATTTTGTGCATAAAGGCTGCTTGTTTTAGAGCATAAATGCATTATATGAACCTCATAAACTAGCTGTAATACTTCAAAAATAAGAAGAGAGAAAGCACTTGCTTAAGCTTTATCAAACTATAAAGTATCATTTATTACACTTCTGCAAAGATTGTAAGCTCCTAACAATGCCTTATCATCTGAATCAAAAATATAAATTTTTAATTTCTTACCATTGCAGTATTTTAATCTTAACTTACCCAATTTATCAATTTTGAATATGCCATTGGGCAAAATTAGTATACAGTGGTACATCGGGATACGAAATTAATCCGTTCTGAAACTGAGATCGTATCATGAAAATGTCGTAAGGTGAATCATTTTCCCCCATACGATTACACGTAAAACCAAATACAGTAGAACCTCGATTATCCGGACCTCTATTATCCAGATTTTCGATTATCCTGACCTCTATTATCCGGATTTTCGATTATCCGGATTGTTCAAAATAAAAATTTTACAAATTTGCTAATTTGCACTTGGCGAATTACGATACTGTTTATGTACGTGATGGAATGCATAACGTTTTTTGTTTCAACAACGTCTCACCCAGCACAGTGGCCGTAAACTCTTAAATATATTTTGTGTCGTAATAAAAATATAACTTGACATATTGTATTTATAAATAATTTTATTTTCAAATTACATCATTTCTATGACCAAGGGCGGCGTAAGGCATGGCCATCATCTATGCCTCGTGGTCCGAAGAGCCTCGCGTTTTAAAGGTTTATGCATTACTTAAAAGCCGCGAACGCGGCAAAAAAATTTTACTTGTCATAAAATGATAGTTTGTCAAATTTTTATTTATAAAAATGCAGTTTCAACTGCTTTTTATTTTATAAAATCCGTCTTCTTGCGCCACCAGAGGTGTTGGTCAGTAGTAGTCTAAATTCAATACGAACGTTTGTTTCTTGAAAATTTGATCACGATTTAAATACAGTATTTACTTTTAATATTACCGATATGTCATCGAAAAGAAAATGTGTTGTATTATCATTAAAAGACAAAGTATTTGTTTTGATTATCTGGATTTTTCCTTATCCGGACTACCTTCATCCCCAATTAGTCCGGATAATTGAGATTCTACTGTAATTCGTTCCAACACAAAAAACACACTCAAATTAAAGCTAAGTTGTACATTTAAAAAAATAACTATAGTAAGGAAAGTTGAAAAATGCGTTTTGTAGTTGTAAATGTATAAATAACCATAATAGAATAATAATTGATTAAAAAAAAAAAAAATGTAGTTTTATTTGCACTTTACCTTTGAGGATAGACGACGGTGGAGGTGTAAACTGGTGGCGGGGGAGTGGGAGAAGGGAAATGATACTAAAACTTAACTTACATAACATAATGTAACAATAACTTAAAAATAACTTAGAAAAGATTAAAAAAATTAGTGTTTATATATATATATATTTTTAATCACTGCTTTTTGCTTTCTTTTCTTCACTTCCACCAGCACTTTCCCTGGATAGAGGTGGCTTCGTAAAATATCTATCCAAAAAGGTTTGGCTTTGCCTACTTTTCAAAATGTTTCTAAAATGACTTAGGCAAATGTCATTACTCCGAGCAGCAATACGGCCAGTGTGAACCTTTTTGGGATGTTTCTTTTCAATAAAATCGGTCACTTTCTGATAATACCTCAAGATTTCCTTTATCGAGCGAGATCCTTCCATGACGAAGCAAACACGCGAATGAACAGAAGTGAATAAAAAATGGCGCTGCGAACTAATGTAATGTCATATAGTGAGTTATTGTTCATATTGTGGAGCAAAAATATGTTCGAATTTCATGTCGTATCCTGAAAATTTCGTATGCTGGGGCGTTCATATCCTGAGGTACCACTGTATTTAACTTTTGACAGAAAATACTAGCTGCTATTGAACACCTTGAAAATGTTAGCTATATTTAAAGTGTAATTTTTGAGTTTTAATTCACCTACATATTAAGAAAATCAATTACTTCTGATGCTGTGGCTCAGTTTAAAAGTAACTAAAGTACAATCGACCCCCCTATAACACTGTTGATTTTTCTGTTTTATATGAATTCCATGTTGTACGAGTGAGTCACTTAGATTTTACAAATACGTGAGCTGTTCACAGCCCGGCACATGCATTTGTAAAATCTGAAGTGACTCGTACAACATGGAATTCATATAAAACGGAAAAATCAACAGTGTTATAGGGGGGGTCGACTGTATAAGGATGGTTGTTTATGCCAATTTTACTTTTAATTATTTTATTCATTGTTTAAAGCTTTGAAGATAAGATGGCAGCGAGGGCATTTGTGAGGTAAAATGTTGCTGGACTCTTCCTGATCAGTCTCTTTTGGTGCAGGAGACAAAGAATAGAAAGAATATGATTTGCAGACCTGAATTTAATTGGCAAATTTAGAATTAAACTATTTTATTTATGAGAAATAAGCAAAAGAAGACCAATATAAGTGACATATATAAAAATTTGAGTTATGCAGAAGGATAATACCCACAAAAGTGAACTCATAATTTTCAATAAACACAAAGGAGAACTACGATATTGTACCAGTAATTGATCTAAAAAATCTTGTCTTGGATAAAATATCTTCAAATGTTTTTGGAGAGAGAGATGATCTTGTGGGGTTAATCAGTATACAGTATCTGAATGAATCTATTGTATAAGATCAGGATAACTGACACTATTAATAAATTTTTTCTTTTAGAGAACTGACAGTTTACATATGTGGGGTTTTCAACTATTTTTCCATAAGTAAATGTATGACTGTAGGAAGAGATGAGGACTGAATGAGGAGACAGGAGACATTTCTCTTACAATAGTAATTTTTAAAATTTATTATGAGGGTTTGTATACACTACATACTTTGGATGGGGCAAAGTAAGTGCAACAGCCACACTTTCTATTTGGAGAAAAAAGTTCAGGAATTAATGAATCGAGTAGCCTTCTAGCATAAATATAGAATTCTGAACAAATCACATAATTATGCTACATGTTCAAATGCACTCAGCAGCATTGGATGATTGTTGGGATGTTGAAATGATAACTTATTGTGAATAAGAGTTATGTCCACTTTAAGATCTCAATAGTTCTGATGATTTTCAACTAAGGTGAGATTTCCTTCTTCATTTGTCACAACATTATTTGGCAAGGTGTAAGAAGACTATCTAATCAGTGAGGATGGTATTCATCGTAGTTGGTCATTTGAAATTAAACCCTCCAGGTTGGTTCATGAGAGCAGCAAGGACAGAGATTACTTTTTTTTCTTCTTTGGAAACACACACTTTTATCTGGAGGCTTAGATATGACTCTTGTGTTTTGTGGAGTCTTGGGTTGAGTTTTTCATATGAAGACTTGGGTGTGATTCTGATTGTTTTCTGACCATTTGACTCAAATTCTCCTAATACACACTCTTTTTGGATAAGTCATCCAAAATGTTGATGGTGGACAGTTGATTCACCTCTTATTTTGATTGTGTTCTTGAACTATCATCTAATGTTTGAGGGTCATTTAGAGATTATCCCCAAATAGTTTCTAGGAGGTTCTCTCTCATCTCTTCAGTTACATTTATTATTTTAACGCATTACTGTTTCTACTATGAATGTAATTTACACAAATTAGTTATAAAATGTTGAAGAAATCAAATATATAATTATCATAATTAATTATGTTACATAAATATGAATTTTATAAGAGAATAGTTCATTAGTTAGTTCTAATTCTTCCAGTTTCCTATTGTTGTACTATTTTGACTGAAACTATTAAATTAACAAGTTAATCTCATCAATTGTATTTTACAGAAAAAAACTATGCACAGTCCAAATACCATTTTATCCATTCAACTGATGGAGATGGATGCGCCACGATGTTAGTTGAATATCATTGCACTAAGGGATATCCAAATGAAGTGGATTTGTTTATTGCCCAAGCTGTTTTCCAGTAAGTACCTCAATGTTTTTTCTTATTGCCATCTTTGATATGTACAGTACATATGAAGATAATATATATTATATAATGTGTAATATCATCAATGTAGACATACATCAAATTGATGTATATATTTATATGTAATATGTATTTATAGATTGCCATTCTATGTGGCTCTATGAGGTAGCTATCACAATTTAAATTATCTTCCATCTCTTAAAAACCAAATGAATGAGAGTGGTTCTTATTGGTTACTATCATAGGTTTCACTATCAATCTGGAGATGGCATCTGCATCTGTTAATTCCTTTCCAGTGCAATGGTTAATTTTTATATCAAAGGTTTGTAGAAAGACTTACCATCGACCTAACCTTCCCTTCAGTTCTTTTAATCCCATTAAAAAGGTAAGCGCTTGATGATCGGTATGCACGGTGAATTTCCTTCCCTCCAGAAAACTTTAAAAATATTTAATTGCCTTGGCTAAGCACTCATTTTCAGTTGTGCTGTAGTTAACCTCTGCTGATATAAAAGTATATGATTGGTATTCTATAACTCGTAGTTGCCTTCCCCGAATCTCATCGGAGTCCTGCTGATATAATATAGAGCCGCTGCCATAATGGGATGCATCTGTACAAAGCTCAAAGTTCAGTCTCCAATCAGGAGTTTGTAATATAGGATTTGATGTAATTCGTTGAATCAATTCTTGGTATGTTTGCACACATTCTTTTGTCCACTCGTAGAGAATGTCTTTTTATTTAAGTCGATCTAAAGGTCGAACAATAGCGGCATAATTCAGATTAAAGGCACGGAAGTGTCCAGTCAATCCCATGAAACAACTTGCTCTGTGAAGATCATGGGGCCAAGGCATATTATGAACTTTTTTGATTGACTCTGTTGCTGTAGTTTGCTAAAATTGTCTATAACTCTTCCCAAGAATTTGATTTTCTTTACATTAAATTCTGATTTATTTAGGTTTATATTATACTGATAATATCCAAATGGAGTGACAAAAGCTGTATACTCTCTAGTCTCCTCACTAATTCCAATCTGCCAAAATCCATCTTTTATCTTTTAAGTCCAATTTTGTAAAATATTTACATCCTCCAAATCCATTGATGATGATATCTGTAAAAGGAAAGGGATAAGGATCCAATTCAGTCACTTCGTTGATTTTCATACTGTAATAAGACAATCTATAATCTCATTTCCTTTAGGAAGAACAACACAAGAAATGTAAGGAGATGTTGTTTCTTCTATAGTGCCTTGTGCTAACAGGTCTTTTATTTTGGTTCTTAATTACTGATATTTGTCATGAGACAACTGATGGGTTTACATTTAAGCATCTTTGTATCTGTTATATTGAAATCAACAGTGAACTTAGGGGGGTCCGGTATAATCGGGTTGATCAAAGCCCGGAAAATGCCGCAAAACGTCTTCTTTTTGTTAAATAACTCTGTTTTAACTAATAAAACTTCCTGCTTACCAAAATTCCAGCAGATATTAAGATTTTCCAATGTGTGAATCCCTAGCACCAAAGCTCAGTCCATTTCCTTAATGATAATTGCTTCTATGTGTTGGATTCAGTGAAGTTTAAAATGTTCGTATTTCACAATTGGCGACCAACTCAGTGCGCCAATTACATTAACAAAGTTCAGATAGTTCAATGTGCTGATCAGGTCCGTCAAGAAGACACCTTGCAATGAATCGACGAATTGTTGGCTAGAAGTAATCTCCTTCCAGCAGTTGAAGAACAGACAGTGAGACTAATCCAGACTTAACTCAAACTTTGATGCACACTTGAAGATCTACAATGAACTTGCTTCCAACGTGAAGTCCTAAGTCGAACTTAAATCTCCTGCTTCAACATTAACTTTTTTATAGCCATAATCAGCGGGCTAGATGACCAATCAGTGCTTACCGAACCATAACCTTATGCAAATATGTTGTGTGGTGTGATTCCCTGCCGACCAATCAATGGTTACCTGCTGTAACACTATGCAAATATGTAGAGTGGTGTGATCCTCGACCAATGAGTGATTTGGTGCTCTGTCGGAGGTCTGCTGGTGGTGTGATGATCTGACGACTAATCAGTGGCCACGCATTCAAAATCCAACAGTCTTTCTTGGCTGTTACTATTTAAAAAAAAAAAAAAAAAAACAGGAATTGTCTTCTTACACGATCCTATCCCAACAGATTTGGTCTCTAAACTTTATAGTGACTAAAACACCTTTATATACAGTAAGTGCTCCATTAAATTATTTTTAAGATTATGTATCAGATGGGATTTTAGTTTGCATTTATCTACCAGTTTAGGATTAATTAGGTTGATTGTGGATCTGGATCTAGAAAAACTGAGCAATGCATGTTATTCACTTTCATTGAGAAAATTAGGGAATCATTATGATCTGATTTGTCAGAGGGATCGGTAAACCTCTCTTACTCGTTTTTTGCTTCTTCCCTATTTCCCAGATTCTTATCCAAATAGTTACTACCAAAAGGGGACACCATTATCAATTTAATTCACAGAGGTGAAACTCCGGTTACCATGAATATTATTATCTCTTCTTTTGATTTTTTTTCGGTGCCAATTTCTTGGTAGGTACCAATTTGTTCACATAAGTCTTTTTTGTCATTTAAATTTTGTTGTAGAAGAATTGCTTGCATATCCGCCGGTAGTCCATGCATTACCATGGTTATAAACCTTTGTTCCCAATATCAGGAGATGCAAGTTGGGTATGCCATTGTTTTTCAAAATAATATTATAATAGTGAACACCATGATATTTCCACATATCTGCTAATATGGACAGTTGGATCCAATTCTGTTTGAATGCACTAAGAAAGGAGTTTTTCCATTCCTCCCAATTATCACCAACCCTATCTAATACTCAAGAATTGTATCATTTCACATCGGTTCCTTCCAAATAACTTCGAAAGTTACGGATCTTTTGTTCTTCTGTAATTCAATTGTGAGATGCACACGCATGTTCATATGAAATTATCCAAATTATCACTTCCTCTGATTTTCCATCATATTTTTCTATGTTGATCATATCGCAAGATGAGTTTAGTGACATTTTTTCGATGGTTTGCTGAAAGGAGTTCATAATCTTCAATGTCTAGGCTTGTTGGTTCACATACAGCTTTTGCAACTGAACAATTTGCGCCAACACATCCGACTTCAGGTCAGACTAACTGTCCAAGGCAACCGGTCATATTAAAGTTTTATTAAGATAGAGCTCACCTTCTGTCTTCAATAATGAAATAGATAGTGTCCAATAATTCATCATCGTCCAGATAGTAGTTCGAAAAACTGACAAGGATGAAATTGCGGGATGATTTTCAATTCCTTGAAATTCTTGGTCGACTTCCATCCATTCATCTTCCCCTTCCAGTTGATATCGGGAGATAAAGTACGAGTCTTCTATCTTCTGAACCATGAATTTGAAAGGCAGTACACAAACTATATATACAGTTTGTGTACTGAAATCCTGTCAACTGCGCCAATTTGTAATAACACAAATGTTAAGAATATAATAATTGAACTAAAAAGAAAGGTGATCACAAGCACAGATGAATTTTACATATGATCCACATGTGTCCTGGATGAAAGGTGGGAACCTTTCTCTTCTCTATCCCCTGACCAAGCCATTTCTTTCCCTTTGTTGACCCCTCAGTTTTCCGAATTTTTGACGATTGTAAATGTGGCGTTAATGGGGAGGGTGCTAACCAAGTAGATGATTTTAAACTCTGCTTACACCACTATGTGACTTAAACCTTCAATACTTACAAATGACCAGCATAGATTAGCTGAAGAATGTAGCTAGCTTTATAATATTTTATAAATGAGAATTATAAAAATTTTATGAAAGATTAGTATATATTGATTTTATTAACATAGAATTTATGAATGCTTTTTAACAAAAGTTATTAGTTGTAATTTTGTTAGTTTTATAGAATTCAATTCTCAATTATCATTAACTATCTTAGCTAATTACTAAACCTATTAATTATGAAAATTAATAATTCAGACAGAAGCGTTTGGATAAGAATTATACTCTTATCCAAACTCTTAAACTTATGGAAATAAAAATAATGTAATTATATATAAATTAGTATTAAAATATATTTATGACAACTTTTAACTGTTTAAAAACAACATTTATCATCATAATGAAATATAAGTTTAAACTTCATGTTTAAATCGATTATTTCAGGAAAGGAAAACAAAATTTCTTACTCCCATTTTAATAGTCTATCAGTTGTGATGATCTGTATTTTTTTTTTCTTAGAAACAAATGTAACAGAATGAAGTTTGAGAGTAAAAGTCCAATTAAATCAAAATAATTCAAGATTCTGCCATTGATAAACAAGATAATCCAAACAAGCTAACAAAAACTATATGCTATGACAAATTAAAAAAAAACAACACTGAAAAAATAATCTAAACCTTTTTTCAGGTGATTGTTTTCCTCTTGATCAAATTAATGTCCTACATTTAATCTAATTGGATATACTGACTTGACTAAATTAAATTGGGATATGGAATGACAGAATGCTTTCTTATTCTTTTAACCTTGATTTCCTGTTCTGTGATTGCTGTCTCTTTAGACTACTAATGTTTGCTTGGCAACAAAAAGTTTATAACAAATCACAAATTAGAAAAGTGAATCTCAGTATGGAATAGTATATAATGTATACAGAATGGTTCTAATTAAATTGACCCTATTTGGAGTCCACCGGGCCAGTTTGAATAGACATTTGTTGAGGAAACTTAGTCTATAGTAGGGATTGTAAATTTACCGAATTTTTCATTTACCAGTAATTTGGTAAATGAAAATTAAAATACCGGTTTACCGGTAAATTTTTTTTCTTGAAAAATAAAATTAAGGTGATAAAAAATATAAGTCATTATGATTTCCATTTCACATTTTTATTTCAAAGATATCAAATATAAAAAATATAAAAATTAAAGTGTTATTCTAAACAAACTATAATAA